CTCTTGCTGACTGATCATCAGTCGGCAAGAGGAAATGGGACAAATGCCCAGTTTTGCCCAAAAAGTGGGGGGTGACCGCTAGGAGGCATGGAGGAACATGCAGGGGGTGGGGATGAGCAGTGATGCCAGTCCCATGTGGAAGGGTGGGCTCAGGGCGGTCAGCAGGTGTGGTTTGGGCTGGCGGCGGTGGTGGTGGGGGGGAGCTCGGACCAGCTCTGTGCAGGCGGGCAGTGGGAGGGGGGAAGGGAGGCCTCAGGCCGGCCCCGGGCAGTGTCCCATTTTCCATTTGGGAAAATATGGGTACTCTAACTTTTACTTACTTTCCATTCCCTTTGAGGAGTGAGATTTGTCTGTTAGGGCCGTGCTGTGTACCAGCTCGCTCTATATGCTTTCTTCCATGTGGGGGAGCTGCTGGCCAACAAAGCAGAGGTTAGTGCTTGCTCTGGCTGACTCTGGCATCCAAGGATTTCAAGCTATCCTAAGCAATTTGGGTGGATTGAGAGAGAGCGTCTTAGGGCCTATCTGTACTACAGACACAATTGTGGTAATGGGGACCCAGCTACAACAGTGGTCTCATAGCCAGCTCTGTTTGGAGCATAGCTGGCACTTAACCATGTTCAGACCTTGCTACAGCATTGGCTCTGCAGGGCTTTAGCCCGGTCTGGAAATGGTTGAGGTTCCCATTGCGTTCAAAGTGGAACTGAGTTGAGCGGTGCTGTGCAGCTGACACTTCAGCCAGGGCCTCCCTCAGGCAATTTCTCTCTCAGCCCCCTTCATCTGCTCCTCTCCCACCACTCAGTGACAGGCACTCACCAGCTGCTCCCGCCTTCCAGCTGGAGCCTCCCCGCCCCCCACCTTGGGGAGGCTGTCGCATCTGGTTGCTGGTTTCTGCAGCAGCAGTGGCAGAAGATGAATTGCCCTAAGGAGGCTGGTAACCAGGAAGTTGGTTCTTTGGGTGGGAAAATGTAAACTTAACAGTTAGGGTAATTAACCATTGGAACAGTTGACCACAGGCAGTGGTGGATTCTCCATCACTGACAATTTTTAAATCCCTATTGGCTATGTTTCATTAAGATTTGTAGTAAGAATTATTTTCTGGTCTTTTATCCAGGATTTCAGACTAGATGATCGCAATTGTCCCTTGGCCTTGGAATCTATGAAAGTGGCTGTGGGTCCTCTTTTGCTGGGGTAGGTGGGGGTCATTGGAGGGAGTGTCGGTGCCCTGTAGTCTGTGGGGAGGGGTGGGTCAGGTGGAGGTGATGTACCCTGACTTGTAGCATGGGGGACCTGAGGATCCAAACCGTCTTGGCTGTCTGGGTTTCAGGTGGGGAGGGAGGAGGCAGTGTTTGCACTAAATAGAGCAACAGTGTAGATCTGCCCCTGGCTGCTGTTGTGGGAGCACTGATGCTGGCAGGTGATAGAGCAATGCAACATGTAGCCTACTCAAACTGTACAGAGATGCTGATGGGGACAGAGGAGGATTTCCCTTAGAGCAGAGGTGGGCAAACTACGGCCCGGGGGGCCGCATCTGGTCCTTCAGACATTTTAATATGGCCCTCGAGCTCCAGCCGGGGAGCGTGGATAGGGGCTTGCCCTGATCCAGATGGGGAGTGGGGTCAGGGGCTTGCCCC